GTGAGTGATTGGGTGTTGAGTGAGTGATTGGATGTTGAGTGAGTGATATGATGTTGAGTGAGTGATTGGATGTTCAGTGAGTGATTGGTTGTTGAATGAGTGATTGGATGCTGAGTGAGTGATTGGATGTTGAGTGAGTGGGTGTTGAATGAGTGATTGGGTGTTGAGAGAGTGAATGAGTATTGAGTGAGTGATTGGATGTTGAGTGAGTGATTGGATGTTGAGTGAGTGATATTGGAACTTGTTGAGGTGTTACGTGATCGCGATTGTTGAGGTGAAGTGATATTGTAAGTGTCATATTAGTGAGAGTGAGTGATAGGATGTTGTGAGTGTAGTTGTATTGGATGTTCATGAACGTTGTAGGTGATTTGGATAGTTGAGACGTGAGTGATCTGCTGTGTGAGGGAAAGCTGAATTGATGATGTTGAACTTAGTGATGTGATGCGTTGTTTGAGTGAGTTGTATTGCATGTTGAGTGTTAGTGATTGGATGAATTGAAGTGTTAAGGTCTGATTGGATGTTGAAGTTGAGTGATTAGGATGATTGAGGGTGAGTTCATTGTGTGAGTTGAGATGAGTGATTGGATGTTGACTGAGTGATCTGAGGATGTTGAGTGAAGTTGACTTGTGGTTGTGATATGATGATATTTGTGGCTGAGTGATGAGTGATATTGGTGGTTGCGTAGTATGTAATATAGTATTGGTGTCTCTCTGAGTGAACTATATGGGATAGGTGTGAGTGAACGTGCACCTTTGCTGGACTCCTATGTGAGTGAGTAAATTGGATGCTTGTGAGTGAGTGTGATATGATGTGAGCTGAAAGTGATATGATGTTGAGTGCAGCGATTAGGATGTTCAGTGAGTATTGTTAACTTGAATGGTGATTGGGATGTTGAGTTAGTGATTGGATTGTTTGATGAGTGATTGGCGATGTCGACGTGCAGTGATTTGAGAATACGGTGGTGAGAGAGTGCCAATGCAGTATGATGAGGGAATGGGAGTGTGGCTGAGTTGAGCGAATGGGTCTGTGAGATGTGATTGCAGGTGTTAGAGAACTGAATGAATTGAGTGAATGAATGGGTTAGAGTGTTGGACGTGAATGAATGGGTGTCGTTGAGGAGAAATTGAGTGGTCAGAATGTTGGTGATAGAGCGTTGAGTGAATGGTTGATTGTGAGAGTTGAATTTATTTTTCGTAAATCGGTAATTACCGCAAGTGCTTTGTCGAGCGATTTCGTGCGCGTGTTGTTGCAGCTGCTGCGACGTGATCTCCAAGTGGGAGACGGCGCTGCGCTGAGCAAGAAGCAGTGCAATGGTCGAGAACTCGCGCCTGCATCCAGACGGTTTCAAGAAGCGCGCTTTTGTATCTGGCGGGGGCGCGCGCACCGAGACGGAGCGCGAGCGGCTGCTGCTGGCGTACCAGCACCAACCCACCAGGCGCTGCTCGTGCCGCTTTCCCCTCACGCGCGACCTGGGCTCGAGGCTGGCGCGCTCACGGTCGCCAGGTCGGGGCCCACGCCCCCTTCCCTGCCCCCCCTCTCTCTCTTCACTTTCCTCTCTCCTCTCCTCTTTCTCTCCTCGTCTTTCTCTTTTCTCATTCTCGCTTCTTTCTTTTTCTTTTGTTCTCTTTCTCTTTTCTCTATCCTTTTTCTGCTTTTCCTTTCTCTTTCTCTTTTTCTCTTTCTCTTTTTCTCTTTTTCTCTGCTCCCTCTTTTTCGTGCTTCGTCTTTTTCTTCTTTCTGCTTATTTCCTCTTTCTCTTTTTCTATTTCTCTCTCTCTCTCTTGCTTCCTCTCTCTTCTCTATTCTTCTCCCTCGTTCTTTCCTCTCTTTCTTTTCTTTCTCTCATTCTCTTTCTCTCTCTTTCTTTCTCTTCTCTCTGTCTCTCTCTTTCTCACTCACTCTTCTCTCTTTTCTTCTCTCGTTCTCTCCCGCTTTCTTTCATTTCTCTCTCTTGTCTCTCTCGCTTTCTCTACTCTTTCTATCTCTCTTTCTCTCTCTCCTTTCTCTCTCCCCTCTGGCGGCCATTACCACTCCGTTCCGTCTCTCCTCCTCTGTCCCCTCACTACTCACGCAATCTCTCTCTCCTTCTCCCCATACACCTCCCATGAGTATATCTCTCTCCTCTCTCCATCCAATTTCCTCTCTGTCCCCAGCGTCATCTTCCCTCTTCGTCTTCGCCTTCACTCGCCTCCTCCAAAACTCCTCTCCTCTATCTATCTCTCCACTATTTCTAATTCCCATCTTCTGTCCCCATCCTTATACTCTTCTTATTCCCTCATCTTCCACCAACATCCTATTCTCCTATAATTCCCTACATGTTCTCTTCCTCATCTCTCCCCTAAACTACGTTAATACCTCTTTCTCGTCTTCTTCTCTCTCCTATTTCCCCTCTCTTCCTCCCACTACGACGTATTTTTGTACGTAGTAGAAATTAAAGGATAATATAATTTCAATAACTCAAAAAGAAAGATTATATAATATCAAAGATTATGGTACAAGTTACAAATGAATTGCTAATATTAAAACACTCGCAACCTTTTCCTTCAGAACACTGCTTTACCGACAGGAAAATACAAGCCACGCGTGATTGCGCGTGTCGGACCCCGTCCCGTGACAATTACCGTCACATGGCCTGACCCAAAATTTAAACCCGGTCTGGCGACCGTGTGCCTACACACCGCGAGTTGTCTGGCCCTTACTCTCCGGACATCTCGCCCACCACTCCTACACCCCTTTGTACACACGTACAAGCTTCCCGATGCAACTGAGATGAGAACGCGGGCGCAGATGACCGCCGCGTTCAATAGGTTGAGGCTAACACCCCCACCACGTGTTCCATAGAATAGGCTCTGCCGGTGGCGCGAGGCGTCGCAGGGCCATGCCTCTAGAGTTTTTACGCCCCCACACGGATGTCTTCGAGGGGTTGGACTGCCTCGCTTCCGTAGAACGAGGCTCGCCGCAGCATCCTCGAGTTTACAGTCCCTCCGTATTTTTGAGCTCTGCAGGCACTACCTGAGATTTCATACGCCGCCAGGAATGTCGCAACAACTCCGTATGTCAGCGTCAACCCCTTTCCTCCCCCGCAGCGTACT